GTGTTGCCTTGGGTTAGACTCAACAAGCGTCTTTTGCCATCACAGTTTTTAAGGCTAAAGTCACCTGAACGAAATTTATTGAACCATCGTTGACACTTACGAACACCAAAACATTTCCATAAACTTCTTTCATATTATTTGTGGCTACAGAGGCATTATTTCCCTTCTGGTATTCAATCAGCATTATATGCCGAATGTGTGTGTGTGTGTGTGTGTGTGCCTCGTCATGTGCCATCACTATAAGGGATTAGAGTATACTAAACTTTACACTTTATATGGGCTACACTAACATGACATTTAGGTGGTTTGTTTAACTATTATATGTGATGTACGTTTTTTGGGGGGTGGTTAATGGAAGTGTTCCAAAATGCAACATTAATTTCTTGATGACCTAATAAATACAGCAAAAATGCCCAAATGTATATCTTAGCTCAAAATACTAATTGTTATTTGATGAGCAGTGACAGCAAAAGTATTAATCTTTTCATTTGTGAACCCATTAATCTCTCTTAACTATGTAGGTGACAAAATCCTGTCTTTCCAGTTCCTATTTAGATTCCATAAGTACTAATTACACAAGAAAGTATTTGACAAAAAGCTATAGGGAATTGTTTGAATTAAAGCATAACATTAGCTTTTTTTTGTAGCTTGTCTTGGTATCTTGTTTTTAAATGCCATAAACTGTATAGTTAAGAACAGGAAAGGGATATTGTTGTTAAGAAAAAAGTTACGGTTTCCCAAGCTTTTTGAAGAGTGTGAGCAAAGTAACTGTCCTATTGAAATTGTTGTTTTCTTACAGTATATTCTCTCTGGGTCTGATGACTTCAGATTATATGTATGGAAAATACCTGATAGCACAGGTCATAACAAAAGTAAGATCTTTAAATTATCTCTTGTGTGAAAGATGCCTAAGTAGTTTAGATGTGAATACACAATAACATGATAAACATAAGAATGATTTATGTGTTGCATATATGTAAAATAGAAAAACATAATTTTGTATTTAGTTTTAGATGGTGAAACAATAATTAAAAAAAAAACAAGAAGTCATACAAATTAAAAACATGTTATGTTCAGACATTTAGATTTTGATTGACTATTTACCAGGCTTTATTTTTTAACTGTTTCACATAAGATAATTTGGTGACTTAGAAAGTCATGTTAAAAGTGACTGTTAAATAATTGATTCATCTGGTGGTATATCATTTAACATGTGACAGTATTGTATTTAATGTTCTATGTCATTTGTTAACTCTCATTAGTAAAGTTAAAAAATAGACCCTTATAATTTTTCAGTTAATTATGTAAAATGTTTTTTAGCAAAACAATTTTACCTTTTTTATAATGGCAAGCACTGTTTATGCTAGAAAAACAGTTCACAATTTGTACTAGTAAAGTGTGATACCTATGGAAGTAAGCATGTAAAAAATTAAGTTGAAGTAATAGTATATCCATTATAAACTGATAATAGATAAAGATGTTCTTATGTTCTTAAACTAAAAATATATTAATATTGTTGTTAAATTTATACTTTATATCAATTGCTACGTTTTTGGCTACAATATTTTACTAATATTTTGATATACAATAAACACTAGAAAAGACACATGGCAACTAAATAGAAAAACATTGTTAATGAAATCCAGTTGTTCCTAGGTGTGTTAATAAAGATTAATGTTTATAGTTGTTAATAGAAGACAGATTAAATATCTGTGCATTATTTAAAAGGATACTTATTACTTGTTTCTCAGTATTTTGTTGCATTTTTCTAAATTTGAACTTGTATTCTATTAACTCCACAACATAGCTGGTTTGTTGCAACAAGCATTATGTGGTTTGTAGATACATAAATGGATAATATATGAGACAATGGAGTAAATACCTTAATATTTATTAGAAGTACGTATCATGCTGCTTTAGGTCTATGGAATAATAAAGCTCATATGGTGCTTCGAGGTCACAGATCAATCGTAAACCAGGTACGCTACAACACCATGAGATCTTTGATAGTATCATCTGGAGTGGAGAAAGTAATCAAGGTAATTTAACTATTTCTTCCTTAAAGTTGGTTACTTAGGAAACTGTGTGAGAATATGTGTTTGGTTTAGTAATCAGTAATAGAAATATATTTCCAACGCATTGCAGTTAAAAATATCTGACATATTGGATTAGAAAAAAAGATGCACATATTTTTAATCAAAACAATTATATTCAGTGAAAAATCCAATAATATTAATGTATAGGTGATTGTACTGTATTAAGTATCATTAATGAATTAGTGAATGTAAAGATGATTATGGCATATGATGTGTCAGTAATAAACTAGTAAATATAATGATGGTTCTGCTTACCTGGAAATTTGTTTTCTGATTCATGATAAGTCATCAACTTCTACAAGAGCATATGGTTCACTGATGCTGACTACTAAATACATAGTTATGTTTTAATACAATATTGTACAATGAATGTGACTCAATTGTCACTTAGATAATATTTTTATAACAATGTTAATACCTGCACAAATCAGTAGGGGAACAAAATATTACAGGATAGCTAAATTATTATCACTTTAGCTTAATTAGATTTTGATGGTAGCTGTATTATATTATTAGCATAACTTGTGTCTGAACAAAATGAAACCATGTGTCCACACCTGTTAGGACTAAAAATACAGAAGTATTTTGCAAAATAGCTCATACTTACAACCACTAAATTTCAAGAGTACATAATAATAGTATTCCAACCACATTATATTTGTCATATCCATTGCCAACAGCACTTTGTGCTCAATCTAGAGCTCTTCAGGCTATCTGGGATACAACTAACACAGTAGTAGTTAGAACACTATTTATTTAAGCCATTTGATACAACAATAGTTGATATGGTGTGTACTCTTTTTACAAGTTAGTGAAAAGTTATTATAATTACACTAGTCATAAGACATTAATATTAGGCCCATTACATTTTTAAACTCCACATTTTTAGTCTAATCACTTAGGGATTTTCAAGAAGTAGAAGAGTGTACAATAATAATATTCCAACCACAGCTGCCCTGGATTGAGCAAAATGCGTTGTTGGCAATGGATATGACAAATATAGTGTGGTTGGAATAATATTATTATACACTTGTCTAATTCTTGAAAATCACTGAGGGACTAGATAAAGAATGTAGTCTGTGTAAATGTAATAGGCATGATACCAGTGCCTTATGAAAAGTATAATGGTAATCATTCTTCACTAGCTTGAAAAAGCAAACACACCATAATCACTAAATTTGTTCAGGATGGCTGACAAAATTCTGGTACTAAATTGTATTAATAATGTTTATCTGTGACTTAGCTGGTTTAAATATGTGAGCATCTTCTGAAAAATAGTCAACTATATTCATTAAGTATATAATTTCACAACCTACAGGAACTAGTTAACTGAGATTTTCAGGCAAATGTGGTTCTTGCAAGACTTTCGTTTATGGAATTGATCGTGACTGATGATTTATAACATTCTGAGTGAGAGTATTGTTTATTATATATTATAATGGTTTTAAACATTGTTTGTGGTTATAACTAGCAGTAAAGGACTAAAATCACTTAAGATAAACATTAAAATTAAAAATTATGAAATAAAAACATCTTTTACAGTAGTGCTTCAATGCAATCAAATCTATAAGACATTTTAAGTCCGTTAATTTTTTTATATTGGAAACAGATTTCAAAATGATTTCATATCTTTTCATTACTGATGTTGTCCAAAATATTTCTTGCATTGTTGTATAACTTTGCACAAAACCTAACAAATAATCTTTATTAAATTATATTTTAATCTGTTCAAATTGTAATTCAGTTTAGTTTATGATAACTTGTTGTCAGAAGTTGTTGATGATCTTTCCATCGTAGGACAAAACTGTCATATGTTTTTGCTGACTTTCTTTCACCAAGCATACGAAACAGTGGGTTTAAAGAAGTGGTATTTAAACAGACAGTTTGTTTGTTTGAACATACTGGTCTTTGAAAAAATACATTATTTAACCTGTCAAAGGCAGAGTCTCTGTATTATGGTCCCCTGGTGGGACAATGCTAAAATTAAGGTTTGATTCCCCTTGGTGGACACAGCAGATAGCCTGATGTGGTTTTGCTATAAGAAAACACACACAAACACACACACACACACACTGTGTTATGAGCCATAACTAGATTAATGAAGGTAAAAGTGATTCAACTTTATGACGATTACTTTTTGAATTAATAGGTGTGTACAAAAAACATTGTGTATTAAGCCAACACTGGATGGTACATAAGAAGGTGTTTTTAAGAGTGTGATTATGTAATTAATTAGTGGATAAGTGAATTTGAATACATTATAAGTCATGTAAAGTCACCACCTTGCATGATACTCACTACCTCAAGTGTAAATTTTAAGAATAACTGTGAATTACCATATTAAACATTGCATAGAAAAATATTTTGCAAGATCTTACTACTGACAAATTTAATGAGCTTGTGTAGTACATCTGTGGTATAACTTTAGAGAAGATAGTGCTAAAAGACCCAGATGAACATATAACAAGTTAGTCAGAGTAGATTACTTCAAGAATGAAATAGTGTTATGTTAACAGGGATTTTAAAATCCATCTGATGGCTACTAATTGGAATGTATTTTATCATTTTCAGTCAAACTAAATTGATTAATTTCAGTGGTTTGTAGTAAAGAAAGGATAACTTTAACTGAAAAGCTTTCAGAAGTGAATTTTTGTTGAAAGATATATTGATCACAAGTTCATTAATAAGTGAAATATTAATCAATAGTATTTGTTGAAATTTTAGGAATGGTGAATTAATGTATGTCCATTACAACATTTGCTGAAACTTGTATTATAAATATGACACTTGATATGCACCACATCATTCTAATTCTAGTTGTGGAGTATGTTTCCACTCCCTGACTGGTCAGGAAGTTTAAATAGAAGTGGAAATACTGAATTTCGGAAGGTTTACTCTCGTGAAGATTACAACAACCTGGCCCTTGAGAATGGACAGTTCATGACACATGACTACAGTCATCACTCGGTAAAGGAGGACCCACTCATGATTGCTTTCTTTGATTCATTGGTGAGTCAAAGCTTATAATTCAGAAATATGAAAAATGTGTTTGTTTGCATATTTTTCTATTTAGTATAGGTGAAAAAAGATAAATGCTCATTTTTTCTTTATTACAAACCTGCTGCTGAATTTCTAAAGTTATGGACAAATATATTCAAATATACCATTAGCCCTTGTGTTACATTTGTGATTTAATGCATCTTAAATATCTTAGAAGAAAATTAATACTTCAACTACAAAACTTTCTTTAAAGACTTTGGACAGTTAAAAACTCAATACGTTTGTATTTATATTAAATGTCGAAGAAATATAGTTAAAGATTACGTCAAATCATTTTTCGATAATATGCCCCCACCCTGACCCTGCAAGCCAGCCTTTGGGATCGCTTGATTAAAAAATTGGGTCAGAGGTGAGTGATGTCACTCAATGTAAACAAGACCAGTCATGGTTGGCTTCTTTCTGTGCACCATTTTCTGCGTAGAAAACTGTTGGCTTATTTATATGAAAACAGTTCGTTTTTTTCTGGTCAAATTTCGTAATACAGTTATTTGTGAATAAACAACTATGGTTTTTGCTGTGTTGTTTATGGATGTGGGAATATTACCAAGGAAAAGGAGATATCTCTGCAGGAGTTTCCACCTAAGTCAGACAGAAAATGCCATATGGCCTGGACAAAGTTTGTATCAAGAACTCGTGATAAATGGAGTTCGATCGAAAGTTGTCATGTATACAGTGAACACTTTTTGGAATCAGACTTTGAAAATAAACTACAATTTGTTATGGGATTTGCAATAAATGCTAAAGAAAGATGTATCTGAAGTTCGAGGGAGATCCATTCGTCACAGTGAGCAGCAGCCAGGATCATTCTAGTGGCACATTAAGATCTTGTTTACAGACTAATAGCAGCGATGATAATTATGTCCGATCAGCTGTTCGATTGAAAATGACAGGCATACAGGGTAAGCTCAAGCTTTAGCTAATGTTTTAAGTACAATATAGAATTGTCAGTAATCATTCAGGTTTTATAAACACACCAGTAGATCTGCTGAAACAAAAATGTTTATGAAATTTCACCTTCAGGTATTATTTACCATAAAAAGGGCATGTACAAACAATTGTCTGTTTTATTCATTTATTTTTCATGTTTATAACACTTTTCTTATGAAACTTCATTGGAGATGTCAATATGCAACATTAAAAATGCTACATCTACATTATTGAGTATCGAAATGTGACCCCCAGCTATGTTTGCTTTTCCAGTCCTAATGTATACTTAGTCATATGCATACAACTCAGAGCATGCGTAGAATACAGTATTAGGAGTCCACCAGCTGATATTAGATCTACATCTAGAAACAGATCCATCACTTGAAAAAACAAATACTGACTAGAACTTACTCATAGATTTACTATATTATTGCCCATGTGACCAATCTGACAGCTATAAATTTCTTCCCATTTTTATGACCTTAGCAGTGTAAACCAGTCTTTTATGACCTTGTAGCATATAACTATTGAAACAATTCCATACAAGACAGATCACATAACTGTCAGTCCTCGTCCACTTTGGCCAACATGTCAACATTAGGCACATTATCGTCTCTAAGCTCTGGTTCAAACATATACGGTGCGATTGACACATATCTATCTCCCTCTTCACCTGCTGGTGCCATTTTTATTTACCTTGTGTGACCTAGTTCGCCATGTGGCGCTTCTGCTAGTTTTTCTTAAAGCTAGCCAACTGTGACCAAATGTGGCTTGGAATCACATGAGCTTGAGTGTTTTGTGACTTTTTTTAATCGTATTATTTTTAGTGTGATACGATATACACATTCAAGCACGAAAAATGCCCTATTGTCTGTGGTCTTTAAGGAATATATTTTTATTTCAATCTGAGATATGTGTAAAAGCTTATTTAATATAACTAAATAAGTTAATTTTTCTGATCATATATAAATTTTTTAACTTAAACAAATGCAGTTTGATAAATACAATTTAGTTAAGTATCAGAGTTACATTAAGTAATTGAATAGAATATACTATTTAAACCTCTCAATATCTGTGCATGTCACAATATTTTATAAAGTTACATTCCAAATTTAGTTAAATTTATTATCAATGTACGTAAATAAAGTTAGTGTCAGTGTATAGTTTATTAATTCAATTTTTAATATTATCTAAGTTTTACTTTCTTAATTTGAAATAAAATACTTTAAAAAGTTCTCGATTTTCATTTTTCTGTGTCACATGACGTGTCTGTGTTCCAAATTCTCCTCTTTTAGCTGGTATAACTTCAGCATTATAGCAGCTACACTGTCTGACTTATAAATAATTCCAAAGTATTCTGCTCCCTTTAGTGAGATAGCAATAAATTTTTTCAACCTATGATAGAAGCCCACTCATCTATTCTCAACTTTAAAAATATTTTCAAAACCACATGCTCTCATTTGACAAATATGTTTATAACCAATAGAAAGAGTTTATCTTCAGTTTCAAGCTTTTAATGATACTTTTAAAATTGATGCCAATAGATGCTAGACTAGTAGAGGATGAGATTAGGTACATGTTGATATACAAATTAATGCTCAAGTTTTTAATGATCTTTTTTACCCTAAGTAGCTTAGTTAGAAAAACCAGTTAACTTGTAGTTAGTCTTGGACATTCTGTTTTAGTTATTTATATATTTTTTATATTTTAAAGTGCATATTTGAAAGATAAATTAACTTTTATTTGAACAAAGACTTAACTAAAAGAAAAAAATATCAGTGCTTATGTACCTATAGTTGCACCTGTCCAAAGCTGCATGTCTTTGTACATAAGTGTATGGAAATCTGCTAATGCTCCCAATGTGATGTGCTATTCTTCAGGCATGAAAAACTGAATGGTTTATAAGCCAGCTAATCAAACTCTAAAATTAAATTAAATATATGGGAAAAAGGTAAACAGTTGAACTTCTGAAAGTAATGAATTTGGATATGTGGAATATATAATTCATTAAAAAAAAACAAGAAAAAAAAGAGGTACTAATTTTCTTTCAAAATTTTATATTAATGTACGTTGATAAATTAAATTTTAAGATGAAAATGCTTATTTTCATTCTTAGCATGAAAATCACTTTGGCCTTATATTGACTTAGTAAAGACATCAGAAATTCACAGCAAATTTTTTAATATAAATTCTTTATTAAAAATTCTGCTTTTTTTATGTACTACAGACTTTTATTGTTTACTAAAAGCTTACCAAGTTTTGTGAAAATACACTAATTTAGCATTATAGTATGTATAGTTTCATGGTGATGTGATAGCTGCAGGTTGGTCACAATGACAAAGCCTGCATTTAGAGGGTTGATAGTTCAATGTAATAACTTTTCCATCTTTATAACATAGTCAGTACTTACCAATAAATGTATGAGAAGATCTGTGAGATAAAAAGCTGATGTTTGTAAATTTTGATTCATTTTCTTAGTTCTCATTAAACTTCATTTATGCAGCAGTAACAGAAAACTTTCAAATTAGTGAATTTGAAAATTACCAAGTACGAAGTTTATTATATTTTTTTGTTATCACTACTTAAAGTTCCATCAGTGAAAAATGGCAGGTAAGTATAGTAATTATTTGTTAGGCATCTTTATGTAATTATTATTTTATTATGACACAAATCCTTGAAAATTGGCTTAAGAGCAAATATTAAATTTGAATATTTGGTCTTTGAAATATTTGGATCTTTCATTTAGAGAAATATCTAAATAATTAGTTATGAGAATGTTGAGAAACAAAGCTAAAACCAAGTGGTTTGTTGCAGTATCAGTTGTAAATGATCAGCTGGGTTAAAGTTCTTGTTCTGTAGAATGGTGGCAGATAATCAGTATTATATACAGCTGTTTTTTTTTAACTATTTCAGTTCGTTTTAATTTTTTCTATTCTTAAAATTTTCCTTTTTGCTTCCACGCCATTGTTGAAACTTTTGTTCTTATACATTAGTATAATTTATGATGATTTTGGAAATGATACTTTAATGATATCTCCATGAAATTATTTCATTCTATCCAAATATATAATGCAAAATAATGTTTTTTAGGGAGTGAAACAGTTGATCAAAATAGCATTGTGCAAACAACCATTATGATAATTTTGAACACATTATCAACATATATTTGAAAAAATATAAAGAACGTTATTTTTACAAAAAGTTTTGTCTTGTTTATTAAAGTTAGAAAATGCCATTTTTTTGTAGAATAAGCTCAGAATCTAATTCATGAGTTACTGTAAAAACAAAAAATTTGTACTAGTGTAGCCAAGACACTGCTTAGCAACTGTTTGCGACTTATATTCACGAGAATTGTATTTATAGTCATATGAAGTAACAGCAGATACACTTCTCAAATTTTCTTTTTATCCTTTTTGCTTCATTTGGATAAAAATTGAAACTATTTGGAATTTTTACATTTATCTTTTTTTTGGTGAATTTAAGCCAATAATATTTACCAAAAAAGGATAACTGTGTGTGTGTGTATATATATAATATATAATATGCACACAACAAAACCAGATATACATTGGTTGGAAAGTTCAAAGTTCTGTGTTGGATAATCCATATTGGTGATTTTGGTCAAAATTGAACTAGAATGGAAATGTCTTGGAAAAAAACATTTGTTTACTTGGCTCAGCTAGCACTATTTTGTTTCATTTCATATGTAAGTAATTACATGCCTGTCAACTAATTTATTCCACAAATATACTGCCATAGATGGAAATTTTGGATCAGACATTTTTTATCGTTCTTGCTAGAATTTTGTAATATCAAAGTATCAAGGTTTATTGTAAGAAAATTTTTGGATTATAATTGGGGGGTCAGAGTAGATTGTTATTCATCAGCAGATTTGGGTTTTTCATATTAACAATCCTCCTGTCTTTGTAGTAAAGTAATAAAGATATCAAGTATAGCAAATCAGAACACACACACACACACGGAGATTGATGACACAGTCTGGCAAGTGTAAATATTGCATGTTTTTGAATTTAAAAATGTGATGCTCTTGGTATGATAAGTTTACTGCCAGAATGTAATATGTTTCACTAATCATTCTCAAAATGGGATCTGATTTTCATTATCACTCTCAGAGTAATATTTTAGATATGTTCTGACCAATTTTCTTGCAAGTATCACTGTTAAGCTGAGGACTCTACATGTAGATTTTCAAGAACATGCAACTTTCCATTTAAAATTTACTTTCAAACATATATAAAATGGATTGTCATTATGGACATCTGTGTTCTGACGACAACTAAGACCTTTGTAAATTTGAAATGTTTTAGCAACATACACATGAGTATTTATTAGTTTGCACATAATAAAATTGACTGGTTGTTTTAGAAAATACAGAGAACCTTAGTTACTCATCTGTAATCGAGATACACTTTTATAAAATTGTCTCACACTTTAATAAGCTTTCTACTTTCAAATTGTTTAACATTTGCAACATTCACTTGGTAAATGTTAACTTTGTGAATCATTACAGGTTCAACAAGATATTGAAAGTTGCTCATCAGATTCTAGTGACCAGCTCACAAACACAGAATTGTTGCCTACTTGTTTGGAAGCTCAGTCCAGTATGTTAAACTTTGAAAGTTCTGGCTCATTATCGTCATCTTTGTCGTCATCCTCAGATGAGGAAAAGCAGAAGAGCCATAAAAGGGATGGAAGCTTTAGTCCTCAGAATAATTTTTACCTTAGTACATTGGCCAGTAGAATAAAAGGTAATCAAATCCTCTTGGATGGTGATAATGAAGAACAAAAAAGTAATGATCCTGATGCTACAACTGATCCTATTTCTGAATTGATAGCTAGAAAACGGCACAAGCAGATCCTGCAAACTGCTAGGTCTTCCTTAAGAAGAACAACAAAAAAGGTTAGAAATATAAATGAAGATAAGAAGTGCTCCACTACAAATAATGCTTTGAAATCCCAGCAGGATTTTACCAGAACTTGTATGGCTCTCGACTCTGTCCCTCATGATGAACATAAATTATCATGTAAGAAGGATAACAGAAACACACTGAGAAAGAGAAGGGCCAGAATTCTTCAAGACTTGTCAGATAGTGTTTCCAGTTCTGATTCAGAAGAAGAAAGAATCCCAAATAATGGCAATTTATGTAACAACCCATTTAATGGCCCCAGTCAAAAGCCAACTTATAGCAAGAGTCTTAAAGCAATTGAAGTTAAAAACACTTTACCACAGACATCTTATTCATTGCAGAATAACTGTGTAGTTAGCAGTTGTAGTGCTTTAGAAAGTAACTTTTCTGAAGAACCATCTGTGTCTAAATTAGATTCCGATATGGAAGCTTCAGAGTGTTCTTCCAAACATTGTTTGGAAATATCTTCATCCAAGACAAACTCATCACTGTGCTCTTTTCAGAACAATACACTATCAACAGAAGTACCCCTTCAAGAACATGGCAAGAATCCCAGTAACCAAAAGTCCACAAATTGTAATTTACAGTCAGCTGTAGCTTTTAAAAGGATTCATCAAAAGGCTCACCTTTCCAGAAAATATCGCTCCAGACAGAGCCAGGAAGATGAAAATGGAGAGTAGTTTTTTAAAGCATTAAAAATTTTTCTGAAAATGATTTTAATAACTTGTTTGAATTTGTACATGTTGTACATAATTTATTCTCTCTTTATTTGAAATAACTCTTAAAAAGCATTGTTTGTTTTGTGCAGAACTTTCAGTTTAAGTCTTATGTATTCTGTATTATTTTTCACAGAAAATGCTCTTAGAATTTTCCATTATGATTTTTTAAGTTTGTGAGAATCACTGCAATTTGTTGAAGTTGCAGAGTTGCAACTTATCCAATAATCACATTAGCAGTGTACAACAATGTTAAGATCTTCAATCCTTTCTATTTGTGCACACATTATTTTCATGGTTTTTAGTGTTTTCTATGTTTTTCTTGCAAGAAACGTAGCTTTATTTTTCTTTCAAAACATTTTATTTTCATGCTGATAACATTTGAACTTTCTGCATGTCTCAATTCTCACAATGTGGGTGAAAGCACATTGAAATTTTAGACAATTTCAATCCTGACCATATAGATAAAAGCATGTTGAAATTGTACCCTAGAAGCGTAAATATAATAACACAAATTTTTCATGTGTTTTAAATTTGGTAGAGTAGATAAATGCACGTTTGAGCTATACATGTGCCTTATGCAGGAGCAGTCTTAGTCATTCTGGAGTCCCGAGCAGAATTCAGTAAATGGGGCTCCATAATGATAAGAAAACTCAGGGCCGGCTCGAATATGTATGAGTGGCTTGAGGAGCAAAAGAAGTGAGTCATGAGAGGAACAAGTCACTTGCTCAGTGTATTTATGTTTTTCCAAGCTCAATATTGCTTTAAAATTGCCATAAATATCTTTTTTTTTAACCTCTCATTGTATAGAATAAAGTAAGGTAAAGTAGTATGCTAGTAAGGTAAAGTATGAATGCTGTATATAAGAATAAGAACGGCGTGTCAACGAAACGTTTATTTTTAGATGATAAAGGTTAAGGTTGGTAATTATTAAAAAAAGAACAATATGTACTAGATATGTATACATACATTCATATGATTTATTATATATATATATATATATGTATTTGGCTGATCATTTATGGAACTATACAATAGTAAAATCTATATACTACCATGCTTTAAAATATGCTGCAAGCAAAGTGCTGTAAATGAAGTTGAGCTCACAATCGAACTCATCTGGTTTTGGCCTCTGAAGAGCTGGAAATAATGTTGTCTGTGTCTAGATGTCGACAGACTCGCTGCTCATTGGAGATCTGAGCTAATCTTGTCAAGCGCTCTTGTGACATTGTTGATCTGAGATATGTATTTATCAACTTCAGATAGCAGAAGCTTCTCTCACCTGATGCAACAGGGATGGGCACTGTGAGTAAAAGTCATAGGGCGATGCTTAAATTCGCATAAATGTCTAAAGGATTTTCTCAATATATATAACTGAGCATTATTGCCTGAGACGTAACATCATCGAGAAAAGCAGTGGTAGCAGCTTTCACCTCTGATGCTAAATCGGCAGCATCAACATTCTTAACTTTTTGTTCCATTTTCTGGCAACAGTCCTCCAGAGTGTAATCTTTTACAGACTTCCTTATGTTGTCAGCAGAGAAAAGAAACCCAAACAGTGCAAAAAATGGCCGCAATTGACCGAATCTACCATTAATGCTGGAAAGTGCAGTGTTTACTAGAGGAAGGAAAAATTTCTGACTGAAACGTTTCTCTGGGGTGTCTTGTATTTCTTTGTTCCTCTCCTATAGAAACTGCTGTTCACTTTGTCTTACCTCTGGGAACGTGGTTTCAACTTCCAGTTTCTCTGCAATTTCCCTTGCATCTCTTAGCAGATGAAAGGCCACTGTCTAGGTCCTGTTGGAGAAATTTTCGAACATAATTCTTCTCACGTTACAGTGTTTAAGTTGAGATATTGGGGCTCTGTGTCATTTTGCTGACACGATTTACTTGGTACAACACATTGTGCCAAATAATGACAGAATAAAGTGCCATGATTTGATTTACTTAGACAATCTGAGTGCTGTAGATGCTGTCTTACTGTCTTTTTTTTTTCTCAACAGCATATTCTGTTAATGCATCCAAGGCTTTATTATCTCTGGCAGCTGATAATGCATGACATTAACACTCCCATCTTGTGGTGGAGAGGCCCTTCACAGTTAGTTGTTTCACATGTTTTTGAAGGATTAACCAGCACTTAGCAGAGGACCTGAAAATATTGTAAAGCCACTATAAAACTCCAAAGAAACTGACTGAGAGTACAGAAAACTTGGCTTCATCACTTATAACAAGGTTGAGGTTATGACTACTGCAAGGTACATACATGGCCTGTTCATTTAAATCAAGCAACCTTTTCTGCACACCTTGTTTTTGCCCATGCAAGTTTACTTCCATTGTCATACGCTTGACCTCTGCAGTCGACAATGTCCAATTTTAATTGAATCAGATATCGAAGGAGACTATTGCATAGTCTTTTTTCCATAGTGTCGTCAACTTTAAGGAAGCCAACGAAATGCTTCGATGTAGAAATACCCACAGATATATGACAATCAACAATGTGCAACACCACCAGCAACTGTTCTTGATGACTAAGGTCTGGGGTGCAATCCATGATGATAGCATAGTACTTTTAACTTTGTCAACAAATGCATTTAGTGTTTTCAGTCCGATCAGCATAATGATTTCATTCTGGATATGTTTACCCAAGTACTGGTCTTTTATTTCCTCATTTTTCATTCTCCTTAAATATTCATTCATAACCGGATCAAACTTAATTCGATCTGTCCTAGGATGTTTCCATCATGGGGATCGTGTATCTTTTTTGTATCTTAGGATGCATTCAGCTAAATGACACACTATTGCAACAGTTCTCTTTAGTACTGACTTCCAGTATTTCTGCTCAAGTGCCTGCAGTTCCTGGTGAGCATTCTCGATTGATGTTCCTGTATTCAACTCTGTATTCAATTGATGCCAGTTCTCCATGTTTGCTAGATGTATGCTTGAATGTTCATGTTCTTTCAAATAGTGAGCAAGATGCTTCCATGCTCGAAAGCCCCCCTTGGAGAAACTATTTTCTCTTGTTCCAAAAAGTGTACAGCAAAAACAAAAACATTTCTTTTGAGTTGCCTAAATTTCTAAAGTTTGGGAATGTGCTGAAGAGAACAGTTGTGTTTATTCATGTTATTAATTCTGCCCCTTTAAAATAAATGCACGTTTGGGTTATATAATTGTTTCAAGTCTGTCAAAGTGTATAAATGTATATGTGCATGGAATGTGGCAAAGTTGATAACAGCACATATGATTGATAGGTTTGCCATAAACTTCTTACAAATCTTTAATTTAAAAAATAGTAAGTTGTTGGTTACAAGTTACTAGACACTATTAGTGATTCAGTTAACAGTGCTTCCTTCCTTCACCATTTTGTTTATCAGTTATCCTATACATGTAAATATTAATAATGTGTACAGTTAATTTGTAGAATATGGAAAGAAATGAGTAAAATATTGAAATGTAAGGTATAGAGTAATTTAATGACATATGTTTATAATTCTCAGTTTTCCTTTTTTAGATTTAAATTTTTTTATGCAGTTGAACTGCATTAAGTTTATATAAAATCTATATGTACTGTTAAGTTAATTTACAAAAACAAACTAAAAGGAACTTTTCTACCATTATGCTGGTTATAAAATGTGTGTGATTGTGAAGAAGTGATAAAATTGGAATTTGTGCAATGTACATTTTTTGTGTTGTGGCATTTTTGGGTATTTAACACAATTCAGTAATCAAATTATCCCGCTAATTTGGACATTTTACTTTTTGTTTTCAAAGTCTTGACCACAGTATTTCATTTCAGTGGATAAAGTACAAAATGATTAATGTACAACAATATTAAGATTTTTAGTCGTTTCCATGTACACATTTAAATTGTTTCAATAAATATTTGTTCTTATGTTTGTGAAAGAAATATAATTTCCATTCTTGTTGATAACAGTATTGAATATTTGGATGTCTGTAGATCTATTATTCTTGAGATATCTTTTTTTACTTGCCTGACTTGTACTTTCAGGCAGTGAATCACCAGTTCTTTGGATAGGACTGAAATGTACATAGTTATTGTAAATAGTTTTCATACAATAAAGAATTGGGAAAAAAATTGTTTGTGTTATAATTTTGTAAATTGAAAGGTTGAAAGCATAGTAACAACTACAGGCCCTTTCCAGATTAAAGGCTCTAAACTCTTACAGATACTAGTGCTCGTTTGTGCCTTAAAATACTACAGTTGTAGTAGAAGCACGTGACCAAACCTGGCTTGCAGAATAGTACGTACTGTGTTTTTACAAATGCCATGTACTTATGCTTACTATGTTCTTACAAATGCCTCGTAGTTGTGTATAATGTGTTAACAGTTTTATGTTTTATAACACCTTCAGCTGGAAATGAACGTATAATGTTGATTGTGTTAATTCTAATACGTTTATAGAGATCGTCGTGACAGCTATAGTTTGTTGATTGACTAGTGGAAAAATGGTATGTTGATAAGTAAGGTTTACAAGTCTTCGTACTTCTCGCGGCTTTAGGTTTCATCTTCTTATTTTTTTCTAGTGACTTTAACGTTTGTTACTGTTTTGTGTTACCATAGCTTTTTAACAGAACTGCATTGCTTAACGTTGGTTGGTTGGTTAAGGTGTGGCTTATTTTTGTTGCGAAACCTGGTAACTATCGCATATTTTATTTCAGAATAAAAAATATCTTGTTTCTGTTTTGAGTAAGTACTTTCACATTCAAATAACTTCTGATAAAGATTAATTTTTTTACAATGAAAAAATCTGATAATACCAGAACCTGAAACGGAGGGCTGACATGGTTTGGTGGTTAGGGCGCTTGGCTCGCAACTTGCAGGTCGCTGGATTGAAACAAATCCCTCGCGAAATATGTTCTCCCTTTCAGCTGCGACGACATTATAATATGTTGACGGTGGGTGGTGTTGACTAACTTCCTTCCCTTTAGTAAGTAAGGACGGCCAGTGCAGTGACGAAATAAAAAACAAAACAATCATAAAAACACGCATGAAAGAAAAGCAATGAGTTACTGTTTAATATACCAACTATCTACTCATGTCAAGCTAATAATACCGCATTATGTACACAGTGAAAAAAAAAAAGATCACAGCTAGCATAGAAATAGCAATAACAGAGCACGGACTGTCGCAAGATATGAATTTCGCAAAATCATTTGAGTATTCAAAGGTGTAATAACCTGTTTTTTTTATATTTCTTTTCAATTTTCCTTTCGTCTCCTCTTATTTTTATCAATCTTCCCTTTTCGTATGTTATCTTCTTGCTATTTAGTTTTATCCTATAAACTATAACCCCCCCCCCCATTTCGTATCAATATATGAAAGGTTAATTTCATTTATTTTATTCGTTTTTTTTTAGATCTTTCCAAGTAAGTACTGAAATCTGAATTTTTAGTTCGGAAGGTGCCAGAAATTAGAAATATTTTTTTTGGGGGGGGGGGTTATTATTTCATATATGAGTGCGTGTGAATATGTTACTGTATTATCCCCGAGTGAAATTTGAAGTAAGGGTGTGATTATTGGCACATTATTCCATGCAGATGTTCTAGTCGTCGGTAAAAGGATGTTGGAAAGTTTGGTTTGGAAAAATGACCCCATTACTACTTTCTCAGTAATAAAGTACGGTTGAGCGATCAAGATGATGCTCAGAATGTAGATTGAGCCAAAAAATTTCATTTATGGGCTGTAGATTCGATATATATATGAGTTCCGGGTTGAATTCATATCTTACAGCTATGAAATGACACATTTACAGTAAACTGTAAGGAAATCTTGTATTATTTCTGACCTGAAGATAGGTGATTAGTGCTGTATCATTAGACTTCTGTAGTGTTGCAGCGTGTGTTTTTGTTTGTCTACAAAATCCATCACCGAGCATGTTCGTACTTTAAGTTGTGGCGGTCAATCCCACAGTTCGTTGATAACGGGTAGCACAATAATTGACAGTATGTGGTGGTTGGTGGTGATTAGTTGCTTCTCTCTTTAGGGCCGGGTAGTTATGGGGCTTGACTCGCAATCTGAGGGTCGCGGGTTCGAATCTCCGTCCCACCAAACATGCTCGCCTGTGGGGGCTTTATAATGTGACAGTCAATCCCACTATTCGTTGGTAAAAGAATAGCTCAGGAGTTGGCGGTGGGTGGCTATGACTAGCTGCTATCCCTCTAGTCTTTCACTGCTAAATTAGCGGCTAGCGCAAGTAGACCTCGTGTAGCTTTGCGCGAACTTCCAAACAAACCAAACCAAATCTCTCTTTTAGGCTATCACTACAAAATTACGTACGGCTAGCACAACTAGTCGTCGAGTAGATTTGCGTAGAGCTCAACAGACAAACAAACTTTCTAGATAAAATAATAATCTTCATATACTTAATTTGCTGTTATATTTATTTAACATTCCTAGTAAATGTTTTCAAATTTAGCAGGCTTTTAATAACGTTTTATTGTAAATTTAAAAAAAATAAATTGCTTGCGTATGCATTTATTTAGTTATTCGTGTTGATTTTCCTGACTTGTGACACCACACAGCTTTTAGTTTAATGATACACATTCTAAACTGAAAGCACTTGTAAAAAATTCAAAATATCATAATTGGTGAAATAATCGGTGAATATATAGAAAAGTGGTTACTAAAACTGCCGTTACGTTTTGATTATGGCGATTAAAATCATCATGGGCCCCCCAGTGGCACAGCGGTATGTCTGTGGACTTACAACGCTAGAAACCGGGTTTCGATACCCGTGGTGGGCAGAGCACAGATAGCCCTTGTGTAACTTTGTGCATAATTAAAAACAAAACAAAGATCATCATGGATTGTCTTCATCAATGTACAATATCTTAATTTTATGATGCTAATGAAACATTACATTAAATATGAAATACGTTGAACAGTGCCCTTTACAAAACTGGGTTGTTCATTATTATCGATAAATGACTAAACGTAACTTGTTAGATTGTATTTTAAATTTTTTGTTGCAGATCATACTTATAAAGTGATAAAATTAATCTTTTTTAATGTAATCGTATACCGTATGTTACTAACATGGGCTCGAAGAAATGACGGATAACGAAATAAGTAAAATACATAAATAAACAATTTATTAAAAAATCACTTAATGTTAAAGAAATTCAGTATAAATTAAAGACTTCCAAAACGTAGTATTTAGAGATTGACTTTAGAAAAACCACATTTCCAATTAGTATCAACTAATTATATCATACCTCAGTGAGTTAGCCATAAATGTATGCACTTATAATGTTTAAACTCTGGGTTTGTTTCCCAACAGTGGACAGAGTGTAGATAGCTCATTGTCTAGCTTTGTGCTAAAATAACAACAAAATCAAAACATGTTTATATGTGGTATGAAATACATACACATTTATATTTTTGAAAATATTCTTGAATCCTACTACCAGAAACTGTGTTTATTTACTTCGCCAAATTAATATCACAGAGTAAGTAGGGAGATGAAAATTTGGTGCAATGACCACAGTGAGGATTATCTGTTTTTCTGGATGAATGTATTTGCTGTACTTTATCTTTTGTGTTATTGAGTCAATGCTACATATTTGAGTAAATGACGTTTATCATTAGGTGAGGGACTTATTACCAGGAGGAAAGTCGGTCACTGGAGATAGATGGTTGTCAAGGATAACTTCTGATAGGGGAGAGGAGTCTTCTCGTGGACGTTAGACTTTTGCTGATGCTGAGAACGTTGCTGACAACTATCTCGACGCATTTGTACCCCTGGAAGGAAGAATACCATAATTTGGTGCATTCAGATTGGCGAGGAGATTCTTCCCCTTAAGTTCTAATTTCCCTAAACAGGGGGCTCAGATGACTTAGGATTGTTTTGGTTGTTTGCAGTATCGAATTAAAAACTGGATGGGGCAGTTTCTCTAGGGCTCCCAGGTTGTTGCTAATCAAAGTAGAGCAACCCTGGTTCTGGTCAATATCACTGGTAACTGGAAGAAAGAGGCTGGGTGGGCTTCTGGTGGGCAGTGTCTGCCAGCAGCAACTGCTTCACCAGCAGGTGAGACAGTGGACACATATTGATGAAGGTGGTGAACTGTTGGATAATTGTTCCCCTCTCTGTGACAGGAAGTATACTGCTGGAGTGACCACAGGCAATAGGTCTGGAGCCATGTAGATCTAATAGGCATGTTGCCATCCTGTGACCTAACACTCGTGTAAGTGTAAAGGTTCAGGCACTATCTCATTCCACGGGTGTTAAGGATGGCTCAACCTGGCATTGACTAAGAGTCTGGAGATGGGAGGCTTACACCAAAACCACAGCCAGCAATGAGAGAGGCGAAGTATATCTCACCTCCTGATGTTTAAGATGGTGGAAAAAGAGGATTAGGGCCATTAATGAGGCATTTCAGGCAAATTACTACCTGGAACTGATGGAACAGTAGAGTGAGATAGTACATGAACCTTTATACTTGGACGAGTGTTAGGCCATTGCCCCAGGTCACAGAATGGCAACATATCAATGGTAACTTACTTATTGGCTTTACATGACTCCAGAACCCTCCATTAGGAACAAGCGATGTAGTGCCTGACCCTGAGCTTCAATGGTCCATCCCAATCTGTTATCAACCACTTTAGTGAGGCATAGATAGCTTTGGGACTGGAATGTGGTCATTGCTAAGTTGCATTGTGGTTCTGACCCAGTGAAACTAAGCAGTTCGTTCAACTGAGCTGAAAACTTAAAAGAGAAGGTCACACCAAAACCTTGAGAGCTTCTGCCAATAATCTGCACCAGTTGCATGGGAAAGACTATCTTGCAATGGCTTCTGTAGATTACGAATACATCACTGCCGATACATTTATAGAGGGGCTACCTAATGAGGTAATAAAGCATCATTTGGAAGTGAGATATATATTCACCATCATCAAAACAGTGGCCATAGTAATTACTTTGAACAGGTCACAGGAAAGGAAAATTCTCACAGCAGTAGTTGCACTGGCTATACCTAGAATGGACTATTATGCTATATGTCTATATGCTATAAGGCAAACCAGCTACCAACATATTCTGACACTGCAGCACAGCCACACTGATTCCTAGTGAATGG